TTAATTGTCGACCATGGAAATAAGCCATTCATGTGGTGAGAGGCTAGTAGATGGGATGCTTGCTTAAGGGTTAATTCCGGGTGGGAGAATAGTAATAGTGGTAGGATCTTGGGCGAGGGCTATTTGGGGTATGAGTACATGTGGATGATTATACTAGTAGAAAGCTTTCTGATTGATTTGAGTATAGAAGTTAGTTTTCGGCGCCCTAGCTCCTCTAGCTCTTATAGTGTAAACTCTACCTGCTTAAGTAGCAGTGTACTTCGAGTCTGTCCCGATCCCACAGAGAATCTGGCAAGGGTGCGACTCCAAGCTTTCCAAGCAAAGCTATGCCCTAAGGTAGCTGAAATTTTTATCTAGAGCAAGGTCGTAAATCAAAGGGGAATTTGGAAAGAATTTTAAACTCGATAGTAAGAGGATCACTCTTAGTTGTATAAAACGGACACGCAAGATAGATGAAGAGATTAGAGAAGTGAAAAGTAAGGGCTGATTCTAGATTGGACTAAGTAAATAGTTTCTATCCTTAGCTAATGAAGGATTACTCTTTCGGGTTCCTCGTTAAAGTTGAAATTTTGTAAAAAGCGTGTAAAAGCAAATCTGAGCAAATTCCGAGCAAACGTGAGCAAACCTTAGTGAAGCTGAGCCAGTCTTGAGCCGAGCCTGAGCAAAGGCAGCGCTGCTCACGTGAGACATAGGTATGGGAAGAACAAACATTCTGTTGGGGGAATAGGGCATACACATTTCATATACCTAAGAGTTGAAGAGGCTTTCCCAAAGAGCACTATCTGTATTGCTAATCTGAAGATCATGGCAATATGGCACTAAGATTGTCTCTTTCATAGAAGATTACATTTGCTCGATTAAGCTATCTACACAACTTCAAAACTCCCTTTACTTTTGCTGCAATTCCTTGCCCAGCATGAGGTGTCTTATGTAAAAGATTTTTCCAAATGCTCGCTATTTCTTTATTAAGCAGCTAAAGGAACAAGGGATCAACTCTAAATAATCACTATCAAATAAACCACAAAGCCTATCTATTAAGACAATTGTATTACTAGATGGAGTTCTCCTTCAGTAAACTGTGCCACACGTCCGCACTTACTTTATTTAGAGCTTTTCTTTTAATAAAATCGGAAAACCTTTCACTATAGGAGTATCTTAGCTGAATCTGCGTCGCCGTCACTTCGTCTTCTTATGTAGCTCCTCTGATTTCCTCCTTAGTAAAGATTCGGCGCTAGTCTTCTTTACCCAATGTCGCTTCGTCTCGACTTTCATTCTTCTTCCTCTATCCTTCGACATTTTCCTCACGAATTCTTTAACCCAACTGTTTCTTATCGCCTGCGGCTCTAATACCTTGCCTCTTCTTCATCGCCATACACAACTTTGCTTCAACTCTGAACCTACTAGACTCTGCTTCGAGCCAAAGTTGATTCCAGGAAGAGCCTGGGCTCAGAGACTGATCTTCCTTGAATAGCAGCCATTCTGAATGGGGTGAAATTGCTGCCACCTGGATTGATTCTGGTGCAGCTGCATTTCCAGATACACATCTGCGCTCGTGTCGCCGCCGCATCATCGGGTTGAACAGACCCCCTTTGGAATACGAAGACAACTTCGTTTCCGACAGTTTTGCAGCACCTGACACTTTGCCGAATTCACTCGCCAAACTCAATTGAATTGCAATAATTCTTGTTTCCAATTGCATTGAGCACAAGTTGAAAGTCTCTTTCATCGAAATCTGTGAAGATGGCACAAGGATCCTCTGACTGTGGAGAGAAGACTACTGAAGGTTGCGATTCTCAAGGAACCAGCAGCACTGCGAGAGCCAACTCTGGTCACCCTCCAAGTTATGAGGATAGCGTTGCATACCATCTATGCCCGGAAGGGTACTTTGACAACGAACGCAATCCTGGCCACGAGTCTCATACCGCTACCACTGCCCATAGGCCGAGGACTCTGCCTCCTGCTGGTTCTTCTCAGCAGCTTAATATCATCAATTCGCCTTGGCCGTGGACTCCCCTTCACGCTTCTTCTTCTCAACCTTCTAACACCTCTACCTCTGACTGGCCGGGCACTCCTCCTCCTGCTTCCTCATTCCACCAGCCTAACATCATCACCTCTAATCAAAACAATCCCTTCGCCGCTGATCCGTCTACGAACCCCACTTCTAAACAGGACGACCCATTTACCGCCGATTTTCCTGAGCTTTACACCTCCGCTCAGTCCAAAGTCTTTACATCAAAGGCTTCTGGTGCTTCTACCTCAAGACATTCTGCTCCTTTCACCACCGAAGTGTCAGATCCTTTGGCATCCGAACCGTCTGATGCTTTCACCTTCAGGGGTTCTCACAACATCCGACAGGTAACCTCTGGCTACGGTGCATCTAACGTTCCCGCCACACTTCGGCTCTCTGATACATGCCTAACTCCGGTTCGCTTTTCAGACCCGGTTCGCTTTTCAGAAACTGCTCGTCTTTCAGACCCAGTTCACCTTTCAGACACTGCTCGCCTTACTGATTCACTTCGCCTTGCAGAATCTCAACCTCTAGCCTCTTCTTCAAGACAACCAAAGACCTCTTCTTCTTCCAAACATCTAAGAACCTCTTGCTACGGTGAATCTAGAATTGCCGCCACACTTCGCCTTCAAGACACTCAACCTCCTACCTCTAATTCCACAAACACCTTATGCTACGGTGAATCTGGAACTGCCGCCACACTTCGCCTTACTATTCCACTTCGCCTTCCAGACATTCAACTTCTGACTTCTTCTTCCACAAACACCTCACGTTGCGGTGAATCTACAATTGCCGCCACACTTCGCCTTTCAGATACTCAACATCCGACGTCTTCTTCCACAAACACCTCTTCTTCTTCCAGACATCTAACGACCTCACCCTACTGTGAATCCGGTATTGCCGCTACACTTCGCTTTGCAGACACTCAACTTCCGGAAGCCTCTTCAAGACATTCGACAATCTCGTCTGGTGATTTCACCTCTGGGCAGTCACATAGCATCCGACGAACGACCTCGAACTATCAGCCATCGTCCGTTATCTTTGATACATCAGCGAAATCTTCTTCTAATTCCTCGCATCATCAAATGGCTTCCTCGAATAACGTCCCATCCAACATGATGGCTCCCGTCGGATCTTCACCATCCGTCTCAGCTATGGGTCTGACCGTAGACGACAACGCTATGGCCAAGAATCTCATTCGACAAAATCCCGAAATCATGAACAACATCTACACTCTCGTCGAATCCACTATCAATGCCATGGAGAACGGACGACAAGGCTCCAATAGGCACAATGCAGAGATCGAGGGCCTTCAAAAGCAACGCCTCGACTCTAACAACAACGCCAAGGAACAAGCCGCCAAGGTTGAGAAGCTCGAAGCGGATCTCAAAGCTGCCACCGACAATGGTCTAGCCAACGAGAAGACCATCGAGGGCCTCCAAAAGCAGCTCAAGGCTGCCGAGGAAGTCGAGACCAACCTTCGCAGAGGTCAAGTCGCTAACACCAACGAGCTCATTCCACTTCGGGCTCAGCACAAGTCGTTGCAGAAGAAGTTCAAGGATGCGCAGCAGGAGGCCACCCGCTTGCAAGACAGAGTGGATTATCAAAACCGAACTCTGGAGGCGCTTAGCAAGGAGGTTAGAAAACATGAGTTGAAGGCGGAGCGCATGCAAGATGATTTGATGGCTTTGGAGAGAGAGAATCGAGAGTTGATGGCGAAGGGAGAGCACATCAGTGGCAAGATATTTGCTGTTGCTGAGCAATGGAACGAGTCTGGTGCTGGCATGGGTGGCCATATGACTGGTGGCATGGGCGGTGTTATGGTAGGAGGTATGCAGGGCGGTAGAGGCGGAGGCATGGGTGGGCACATGGGCAGAGGTGGAAGCATGAGCAGGGGTAGCGATATGGCTCGAGGTGGTGGTTTTGGTGGTGATTTGGATGGTCGTATGGGAGGCGGCATGGGAGGTGGTATGGGTGATACCATGGACGAGTACGGAGAGGGAAGCATGGATGGACGCCGCAAGCGCCAAGCTGAGGAGTTCTTGGAGGATGAGGAGCGCAAGCGCCGATTCTCCAGAATGACTCGCTAGGCCATCACAAGTTGTACAACACATATTTGATTGGAGGGGCATGGATCTGATGGGGACGAACTGCATAAAAACGTTGATCTTTAGCATAGCATGGTAATATTGCCCGGGGAGGGGTTTATTCATCAAAAGCGTTGCATTTTACTTAGCATAGCATGAGCTAAGATAATACATATCTTCCATCTCACAAATGTACCGTTCGTGATTGACCAACGTAAAGTATATGCTAGAATCTTGCTCGGTCTGGCAAAGATTGATTGTACCATAAATTGTTGGACAATGAGAATTGCACATACTAGAATCTTGCTCGGTATGGAAATTTTCATTGTATCAGGAATTATGGAATAATGAGAACTGCATATACCGGAATCTTGCTTGGTCTAGCAAATTCTCATTGTACCAGAAACTGTGGTACAATGAAGCTGCGGTAAGGAATATCGATGTACTAGAAATCGAGGAACATTGAAATTGTATTGAATGACACTATAAGATCATTGTACCAAAACCTAAGGAACAATGAGATCACTGCAAGTCGATTCAATGTACCTGAAATCGCTGAAAAATGAGCCTGCATCGAACTAGACCGTAAGTCATTGTACCAGCAACCAAATAATAATCGCTCCTCAAGATCTTTCAAATATTCACGCAATAGTCTATACAACAAGAAAAACGTCCCATCTCAATGTTCTTGCCCGTTCTCGTACTATGAAACCAGACAATGCAAACGCCATCAATTCCCTCCAGCCTATACCCATCCGCTCTCGCAGCACGACCCACACCTAAGCGAACAAACCCCCACAAACCATCTAACCCTCATAACTCAAAATAAGCCATTCCCTCCTATCCAATCAACGGTCGGGTGGTACGTTAGCCTCAACTCCTCCCATAATTATCCTCACTAACATTCAATAGGTGTAGTTGGTTATCACGTTTCGCTAACATAATCTCCTAAAAGAGAAATGTTGTCCCGAAAAGGTCCTGAGTTCAAGCCTCAGCCTGATCAGAATGGATATTATTTTTTGTATTTTTGAACGATGAGATGGGATAGACGGGTTTTGGGAAGAGGGAGGCGGAGAAGGAGAATGGGGTGGTGTGGTGTGGTGGAAGTGGACGGGAGGTTGAAGAGCTTTTTGGTGCGGTGGGGCGGCTGGGGGTTAAGCGAGAGGATAGGGGTAGCTCGCTTAAGTCTGTCTAGTTATTGCGAGGCGTAGGATTCCTTTTTGATCGAGTTGATTGTGTGAAAACATAGATAGAATCAAATCCAGATGTTAATGATATTGCAGGTGAGCTGTCAGCCTCTTATTTGCGAAAGCCAGGAACACTAAAGCAGGTTGAGGATCCTCTCTTGCTCGCAATCTGAGAAGCGCTTGATTGAACGTACCATCTGAAATTGCTAGACAGTTCCTTCGAATGCAGCTAACATGGCTCCCTCTAGGATTAAATATCGGAAGATAGGAATTAGGTTTGATGGTCCAATGGCGAAAAGTAAGGATTACTTCAACCAAGAGAGAAAGGCTATGGAGAGTGCCAAACCGCTCAAGCAGCAGAACGAGTGATCACCGCCCTCTCCTTCGCACCTCAGCCTTATTACATGCAGGTCTCGAATCCCTGATCCACTCTTGTTTTTCATGTTATTATTGCCAATTTCTTGTTCGGCACCCGAACGCCCTTTCTATCCTTTTTGAGATTACAGGAAATACAGAGAGCTTCAGCCGAGAATGCAGCATTCGAGCTGCAATATCAGGTTTTCAATGATAGCGGTGCTGTAAGTCTCCGAAAAGTAGTAAAACACCTTGTTTGTAGGCTCAGAGGTATGATATCAAATCTTCCATAATGATAAACAGTGGCCATCGCTGATTGGGATTTTGGCGTGTCACAGCGGGCTCCACATTCCATAATCTTTCCCATACATGCGAAACAGCACCTTTGATTTGATTATCCGCTAAGCATACTATCTCTAGGTGCTGTGTCAAAGCCAGCAGTCCAGTGTTCAGAAGATGTCATGTCGAATTCCCTAAGCAAATTCCAGTCGAAGTCAAAGTAATCCACTACATCAGAATCCGCGTTGACCCAAGACCCTAAAGTGCCAGGCAGCACCTCACTGGGTACATCAGCTCCAACAGAACAAGGAGTTCCGTATTGAGACTCTGGGTTGCCAGCAGCGTTTCTTTCCATGCCCTCCCTTATCTCTTTTGCAGTCTGCACCGTGTCTTCCAAGATACTGAGACTTGCGCCACCATGTGAATCGAACTCTTTTAAACCACTCAAGTTCGATGCATGAGATAGCACTTCAATCATTCGTGCGGCTCTTCCAAACTCATCCATTTTGTTTTCAGACCAAGATGAAAGCATCCGATACGCTTGTCGGATGTGGTTCCGTGCAATTTCGTAATGTGACGAGTTCGTTTCTTTGTAGTTTGCCATGGCCTTGAAAATAAAGGATGCTGCGAATAATAGCGTAGTGAAGTAGTACTTTGGAAGATATCTTTGTGTGCGAGTGAAATCTTCGCTCTGACAAGGCTCATGGGTCTGTGTCTCGGGTAGAGTCGAGCTTACAGCGCTAGCAGTTGAGAATACGTGTATGATTCGGGCAGCAGCCGTGAATCCTAGGTTTATAAGCGAATTCTTGAGCATACTGTTCTCTGAACTACTTGGAGGGCGACTCTGTGCCTGGGACATTTGCTGCACCTGAAACGTATATATGTTGAGCTGTGCACCGAGAAGCTCAATTTCAGCTTCTTCACTCCATGTTTTGTGGTTCACCTGCTTTACATCATCCAGATCCCTGCATATGAGATGTATCATTGAGAGGTCTGCGTTCTGGTGTATCTTGGACATAAACACTGCCGCTTTGATAGATTGCATTCCAATTTGTAGTTTGGTGGTAAAGTCTGTTTCCAAATGGAAAAGCGAGCCTGATGACGTATTCATAATTCCCGGGTGTAGACACGAAACAGAGCTCCAAACAGAACTAGGCAAGGTCAAATAGTGCTCGTAGTCATTCAAAGGGAAGATCTCACATTGAGTTCACCTTCAGGCAAGCCATCCACGTGTTTGCACGAATCATTGCTTCAGTCTTTGGGATTCGACTACGAGCCCTGTTGCTGTCTGTGCCATCCTTGTGTAGACCCATTCGCATAGCAGCGTTCGTGACTAGGCCACAATAGTTCCAACTTGAATCATGAGATTGTCTGTCGACGGCCAAAGGCCAAAGACAAAGCATAATGATTCCGTGTATAGATTCCAATGTTGTGATTGGTCCAGCAAGTACTTCTCCCAATAATTCGCGATATGGCGTAACCACAGCTTGGTATATCTGAGCTAGCGTCGGATGAAACCGACTAGATATGATGATGATGGTCCAAAACAAAAACGGAGAGGAGCGAAATATGCTAGCTGCAGTCCTGTTCGCATGAAGGATAGGGCAATGGCGGTAATAGTGTTTCTGGAAACTGTACTATTGTCAGTAATTTCGAGTGCACAGAATAGTAGCCGATCACGAACTGATCCAATAGATTTTCGGCCTGGCTTGTCTCGATCAAAGTGTGGCCCAATGACATAGGAGCCGCTGGCAGATTTCTCGCATTTTCGTCTCGATAGAAGAATGTTTCATCTGCGGCGTCAGAACTATTTTCAACCGCACTAAACGGTATGATTTGTGGCTCTAAGGGTTCAGAAACGGCATTGGCAGAAGGTGCTTGAGATGGCTGACTGCCGGAGCTAGAAGAGAGGCGGCCAAGGCTTTGCTGTATGGCTGTCAATTGACTCGTGACCTCATTGAGACGGCTGTTGAATATTAGTCAACGGTAACATACGAGGCAAGCCTCAGACGCGTACTCCTTTGTGCGTTGCCGCTGAAGTGTAGAACCCGGACCTGTACTGCAATCGAGCTTATTCTTTCGGCACCGAGAACACGGAGCTGGAAAGTTTTGCATAACATCGCACCGGAGCTAGGGTTATCTGATGGTAAGCACGAGCCTTAAAAACACCTATGGCAGTACAGACCTTAGCCTGCCGACATTCAGTGCAAGCCTTTTGACTCCTCTTGATCATCCGCGGAGGATCGCTCTGCATCTTCAGTGGCGTAAGGGTTCGGCCTCGGTTGGATAGGATGGAGGTCAAGGTCAATTGGAGGAAAGTAAGCCGAGTGTGGTACGGAGGCAGATCGAGGGCCAATTGACAGATAACCCTGAGGACTCGTATCGTGGCGGCTATCGGCAGAGAATGGGTGGTAATGAGGTAGCTGATTCAGCGCGCCCTTGTCAAAGTTAAAATTGGCGTTTAGCAAACATCGGAGAGCCTATTTGCGACAAATGCTGGCGGCCGAGCGTCTTAACCGGACGGAATCTCTGTCAAAAGTTGGCCTCGCCGGTGCCGTGGTCTACTCTGAGTGGAGATATGATTACGAAGAAGACAAGGCGTTTCCAGGTTGATTCCAATTCAATTTAGAGACCTTCTGTTGGGTGATTGTCATGTGGAGGACATTATGAAACCGTGTTGACTCAATTTAGTCGATCTAAGCATGGGACCGAGGGTCCGAGGTAGTCTATGTGGGGTACATACAGCCCCCTCCCCCCGCCACAACAGGTTACGAGTCAAGAGACCGTGCTCCGCGATTCGGCAACCGGACCGAGTTCGGACCGGCAGAACAACCATCGGCATCGTGATATATCTCAGATGTCTGTTTCTTTAGTATGCAAAACCCAACTCTTCCCCAGAGCCCCAGGGCCTTCCGTCTGTCGAGTCATCATCTTTCTTCTCAACGAAAGCTATGCGTCAACAACCGAAGGATGATGTGCAAGCAGCGCATGTTGAGGGTCTGCCCAGTGAGAAGGTCATCACTTCTGGAGACATTGCTACCCAGTTGGTCGATATTTTCAACCAAAGCAACATTACTCCTGAGCAGGATAACCAATGTCTTCGCCGAATTGACCTGGTTCTCATGCCGGTCATGTTTCTATCGTTTGCTGTTCAGTACTTGGATAAGGCCTGTTTGACTTCCGCTGCGCTCTTCGGCATTGTTGAAGATCTCGACCTCTATCAGGTGTAAGTGGATCCTGTGACCCCATTTTCCCCTATCCGCTTTCTAATCTCTGTGCCATAGTTCATCGATTGGCGGAACGTTCACAGTGAGTACCCAAAGATACGGGTACTGCTCCTTGATATTCTATTGGGGCTATCTAATTGGACGTGAGTCGATACCTACTCGTGTCATCCGAATCCTACAAAGATCTAACGAGATGGGCAAAGTCCTTCCCGGTGTATATTTCGCTCAACGCTTCCCCCTCGGCAAATACGTTGCTATCGTGGTTCGTGTGACCATTGTATAAGTTGAGCTGGGTTTTGCTGACGTTTGTAGATGTTCCTCTGGGGTGGCGTCACAGTATGCACTGTTGCTGTGGATTCCTATCACGGCCTCTTGGCTCAACGCTTTTTCCTGGGAGTTACGGAGGCTGGGATTGCGCCTGCATTTTCTTTGATCACTGCAATGTGGTACAAGCGCCGCGAACAGCCTCTACGATTCGCTATATGGTTTTCAGCTACCGGTATCTCGGTGCTTGTTGGTTCCTTGATATTCTACGGTATTGGCCATATTCAAGGAAGATTACCCGCCTGGAGATATCAATTTATGGTCATTGGATGTTTTAGCTCTGTCTGGGGAGTCTGCCTCTGGTTTTTACTGCCCGATAGCCCTCTTACGGCCTTTTTCCTGTCCAGAGATATGAGAGTGGTTGCGGTGGAAAGAATGAGACAGGAGCAAATCGGAATTGAAAACAAAAGGGTCAAGTGGGATCAGGTTAGAGAAGCTTTTGAAGACCCGAAAACATACTTCTGTGTGGTCATGCTCTTTGCCATTAACTTGGCAAACGGTGCTGCTTCCGGCTTCGGATCCATTATTGTTCAGTCATTCGGAGTATGTAATCTCTGCCGTGTTCATTATCTCCCGAAACTTCTGACTGAATACTAACTACCCTTAGTTCACGACTTTGAGGACAATCCTGCT